TCCTTCCAAAATTTGGTTAATTCTTCAGGATTTACTTTCCTTTTTCTAAACTGCTTCTCAAAATATGTCTTTACTTCTTCTAGTATTTCTTCTTCTTTTGTTAGAAGCTCTTCTTTCCTATTTTCTTCCTTAAGTATTCGATCTATTTTGATGCTTCGGTGTAGTCTTTTGAGTAGACTATTAATCATTCTTCTTTGGTCTAATATGATCATTCCATATCTCGCTTCTATGCAATCTTGGATCTACTCTTCTTTTGCTTTCTCTCTTCGTCTCTTCTAGTCTTTGTATAAAATCTTCCACCAAGTTTCTGCCTCTTCATACATGATTCTATTTTGTTTTTCCTCCCAGAAGGTTAATGAAATCTCCTTCTCTCTAACCCTTTTCAGCTTCCACCTTATTTGTATTTTATTTATTAGGTTTTGTACTTCTTCTATTGTCTTTTCGTCTTTTTCTAACCTTCTGTTTTTCTTAATTCTACTACACCATTTTCCAAGCTTCCATATATCATTTTTTTGTTTAGCTAGGTCTTCTGGTAGTGTATCTTTTCTTTCGATTTCTGGTGTCTTTGCTTTCTTTGGAAGTGTTGAGCTTGCTACCTTTTTTATGTTTAGTTCTATAATGTCCCATAGTTTTTTTATTTGTTCTTCTTTTACATTTTTTGCTTCTTGCTGTTTTGCTTTATCGGGCTTCTATCTTTCTTGCTTTCTTTTTTTCTCTTTTTCTTTTTCTTCTAGTTTCTTGCTAATTTCTTTGTTCAATTTTATCTTGTATTTATCCCAATCCTCTCTCTCTATTTTTCTAAAATCTATATTGACTCTTGTTTTGTCTAATCTTTTCGTTCTTGCCATACTTCTTCTCCACATACTAAGACCTGTAATTATTCTGCACCAGATGACACAGTGGTCACTTGTTGTAATAAAGTTCATACTTTCTGTTTCTTTTCTTATTGTATCTTTCTTCCATTCCTTGTCTATCCAAATTGTGTCTATTCTAGATTTTACACCTCTACTTTCTCACATGTGTTTGGTGTCTATTAAATTTGCTTCTTGGAAGATATCTGCGAGGTTTTCCCCTGTCAGTATGTTGGTAATTTGAATTTTCTTGTCTCTTCTTTCTCTTGCACTTTTCGTCACTGTCTTGTTAAGATCCGTATTAAAGTCTCTCATGATGATATATTGGTGATGTTTTTCTTTCTGCTTTTGTAGCTTCTCTCTAAGGTATTTCTTAATAGTTTCTTGTATTTCTAAGTTTTTGGATACTATATACACCATTATTATCATTATGTATAGTCTTTTGAACCTTAGGTTTAGTTCTAGAACATATAGGCTATGTTTGATGACTCGTGCTATATGTTTTTCCCAATTTTATTTTATAATTACACCAACTCCTGAGCCTTTCTTTTTGTTTTCATCAGCTGATATCTAGTAGCTTCTGTAATTGTTCTTTTCTCTAGTGATAAACCTTCCTTCTTCTTCTGATATATTTGTTTCTGCTAGGCCCAGAATATCAATACTTTTTTCCTGCATATAATCTATAATACTCTCTGCTTTACTCTTGTTGGCCTTCAGACCATTAATATTATAAAACCTATTGTTAATATATTAAAATTTTTAGACAATTCACATGTAATCTGCTTCTTTTTTCCTTCTCGTCTCTGGCATTTTTGGGTCTGTATTTTCTACCCCTACAGCCCTTTTCTTGATTTCAACTTTATCTCCTTTTTAGGATCATCTTGCGAATCTCTATCTGCTTCTTGGGTTTCATTCTAGGTTCTCTAGCCTTCTTAAGATTTCTGTAAGTATTGCTTCTATGCTCTGTGGCTTTGATTCTTCTTCATTTTTCTTCTCTCGGTGCTTCTCTTCTTTGTTTTGTCTTGTTTAGTCACCCTTGCGCTTTCTTCTCTTGTAGTTTCTTTAGCAAAATCTTTCTTGAATTCTTGTTTCCTGACTGGTTCTTGTTTCTTCCTTTCCCTTGCTTTGTTCTTTCTTCTTTTTTCTCTTTCTTCTTGGTTTAAGTCTTCTGTCTCATATGTAATATTTCTTTCTCTTGTATATGAAGCTTCCTATTCTAACACCCAGTTGTTATATCTTACTGGTTTTAAGATTGCTTGGTCTCTATCCTCTTTATATTCGAATGCTATGATTGCTACTGCTCTTTGTCTGCCGTTGCTATTACGTGGTATATAAACTGACTTGGCACCTTTATTTCTTAGATTGTTGAGTAATAGAACTTCTGATGCTCCCCTTGGTATTTCTCTTAATTTCACTATTGTGTTACTTTGACTGTCCCTTTTCTCGAAGTCTTTTATGCCTTTTGTAATTCTTGCTAGTTTTTCATCTTCTATTGGAATTGCTCAGAGAAGTTCTCCGCTTGATCTTTTTCTGATTTTTAGCACTGCTAATGCTTTTGAAAAACTTCTTTTGATTTGTATTTCCCTTACTTTACCTAGTTTTTTGCAGGTGTATTGTACCTCCAGTTGGTTTATTTCCTTTGGTAGATCCTATACTGTGATATACGACAATTCTTCATTATCTTCTTCTGTGCTTGATTTCTTGTCTTTTGTTTCTGTAATATTGATCTTTCTAAATTCTTCTTTTTGTTTTTTGTATTTCTTTCCTTTGTCTATCTTTTTTGACTTGTCTGCAATTGAGGCTTTGTAAGAGGTATTGTTCTTCTTCTTTGGTTGCTGTGTTTCTACTGATATCATTCTAAACCATTCTCGACTCTTCTTTTCTATTTTCTCTATTGCTTCTCTTCTTCCTGTATCATAGTTAAAAGTGACTTCTACCCACTTATTATAGTTTACGAATGTTTAATTGACTTCTTTAAGATGCTTATTGCCAGCTAATATTCCTTCGATCATTCTGATTCGCTGCTCTTTATTGTCTCCTGGTATATTATATGTCGATATTTTGGCTTTGTATTCGCCTACATTGCTGCAAGGTCTTCTGCTTGGTGTCCACATACTTTGACTTAATGGAATTTCTGTGATTATCAGGTCTTCTTTTTGATTTTTTTATATACTTGTGCTTGTTTTTGCATTGTCTTATAATTCCTGATAGATCTCCATCTTGTTGTCTTCTGCTCGCACCTCTTTTTGTTTCTCACTGGTTGTTTTGTGCTTCTTTCCTGATTTTCTCTTTTCGTTTTCTTTACCTGATGATGGAATGATCTCTTCTTGTTTGACTATAACCTGTTCTTGTTGCTGATTGACTATTATTTTTAGCCCCTGCATTTGTTGCTATATGTTGTCTATTTCGGTCTCTTTAGTTTGTGTTGATGTTTCTTTTCTCTTCTCTTCTTCATTTCGGCGTTTTTTTCCTATTACTTTTGAGTTTTTTAGTGGGTTTCTTTGACGATTTTCATTTCGTTCTCTTCACTTGTTATTTCTTTTAAGCTCATACTTGCCATATAGTCAATAAACCTTGGATATAATTTGGTCATCCTGGCCTTCTCTTGCCAGTTTTGTAATACCTTGTCTGGAATATTATCTTTGACTGCCAGTAGTGCTTCTCTTACTTGTCCAAATAGTGATAATATTTTAATTGTTTCTTCGTCAAGTTTCTTTGCTACACAGATTGCTACTATAAGATCTATATCATCTGGTTCCTTTTCTTTAACTTCTTGCAAAGATCCGTTCAGGAATACACAATTGATGTGTTTTAGTCTTGGCTCTGCACGGCGTATAACTAGTCCTAATAGGCCCATAATATATATATCTATCTCTCTCTTATTGGTTTATGTAACTTGATTATCTAAATTCATCTTTCTAGAACCGTCTGTTGAGACACATAGTTTGCTGTTTGTTTAGTCTTTCTAGAATCGTCCGTTGCTACATGCGTTTGTTGTTTTTTGGTTTACGCATTTTGTTTGTTTGTTTTGTTTGTTTTTATATTACTGTTAGTGATCTGTGTTCAAGATCAAGTGGTTCGCCCACTTTTTGTCAAAAATTTCTTTGAAATTTTCGTTTTTCTTGAGTATTTCTCTTGTTGCAGGTTCGATCTTGTTTGTTTTTAAGCTCGATATCTGTTGTTTTTGTTGCTCTTCTTTTTTTCTTAGGCCTTATCAGGTGTTTTCTATAGCTTTTGTTAAGTTTTGGCTATTTTTGTTTTCTGTTTATTTGTATACAAGTGATCAGCAGAAAGAGTTCTGATCAATTAAATTAATAAATAATTATGAATTGAATTGTATGGTAATAAGTTTTTTTGTATTTATTTTAAGGTAGTAAATAAATATTTATTTGAATAGTAAAAATATGTGAAAACAATAGATAGTTTAAAGATGTAAATTAATATATATATAGATAATTAAATTAATACAAAATATATGGTATAAAATAATTAAATTAATTAAGAAATAATTTAGATTTATAATAATAGTAAATAAGAAATAAAAAAAATAAATATAATAAAAACTTATAAAGTAGATAAACTTTAAAAATTAATTTCAGATGAGTTATTGTAGTACTTTAGGATATATGATATTTTGAGTATAACCTGCTTCAGCATGTTGACCAGATATTAGGAGTTTAAGAGATTGGCAAGAAGTAAATTTAGAGCAAGCAATGTAGAGTTGACTGTGAAAAGACAGGTGTAGGAAGATAAACAATGTGATTTAAGGTTTGGCCTTGTGCTTTATTAATTGTTATCGCAAAGGCAAGTTGAATAGAAAATTGATAACGTTTAAAGGGAAAAGGTAAGTTAGTATTTGAAGGGGTAAGGAAAATTTGAGAAAGAAATGCACATGATCCAGTATGCTTTCCTGTAAGAATTTGCACTTCGATAATATAGGGTAAAAATGTACAACATATTAAACATGTTCCATTGCAAAGATCTTCTGAAGGATTGATATTATGAAGTAATATAACAGAAGCACCTATTTTGAGTAATAATTTATGCAAGGTAATCTGCTTATGTTCAATGAATTTAAAAATTCAACAGGATATAGATTTTTATTAGTAATGTGATTATTTCCTGTTAATTCGTCAATACTATTCGTGCTTAAATATTCAATTTCGTCATCTGGATATAAATTAAGAATAGTAGAGTTAATAGTAGAGACATCTGTATTTTTGGAAGCAAGAATTCTACATTTTATTAAGTAGAAAGAATTATTGGCCTGTGATATAAGATCAGGATATACAAAATCTATTAATGTGTGTATGTCTTGAGATGATAAAAAGATATCATCCAGAATTTTAATAAAATTGTTGTTGTGTAGGAATCTTTCAGCATGATCTTCTCCAATTTGCAAAAGCCAGTCAGCAAAATTTTGTCTATTAATATTGGTTGAAGTGCTTTCAGATTAACGTAGACGCATATTACGTGATAATTTCATTATTTTAATATGGTGCCATAGAGGTAAATATAATAAACAGGACTCTACAATATCTTCTCTATTGCCTTTAGGAATTACAGATAATATTTGACAAAAATCTTCTCCAAATACAATAACTTTGCTACCAAAAGGTTGATGCTGTAATGAAGGATCTAATGCTTTTATTAAATCTTTAAGAGTGTAATTAACAGCTTCAATTCCATATCGGTTCATCATAGGAGCTTAGTCCCAAAGAATAAGATCCGTTTGTTGTAAAAGAAATGTGTGATCTGTCCTGTATGAAATACTACACATAGAATCTTCATGTAATTCGAATGAAATTTTAAAACAGAAAAAGCAGTACAACCTCCTTCAAGTAAGAGAGCTATAATACTAGATGATGCAACAGCAGGTACAATATGTTTAGTTAATCTAACTTTATCTAATATTGTATTATATAGAAATATCTTACCTGAGCCACCAGGACTATCTACAAAAAATGATGAGAAGTATGATTTTCTATCACTAAAATTACTTTATCAAAAATAGATTGCTATTCAAAGTTTAATTGTATATAAGTATCTCTAACTCTATTTTCAAGAAGTTCAACATCATATTGAAGTTCAGCATTAAGTAGATGATTTTGGTATAAAGGAGGTTCAGAAAGTGGAGTAGGAATTAGCATTGATAGAAAATTTGCAAGCGTTGTTCCATTTTTAAGTAATATAGATTCTAATTGAGTTAGCGCTATATTATAAATATCACTTTTAGTAAAAGTATAGTTAGTATTGGTTTTAGCTTCAGAATGACAATAAAATAATATATTATCACTAAAAGCTGTAATATATTTGTTCTAAAGTAATTCAGGGTGAGTTGAATTACAAAATATAAGAATAACAGCAAATAAATAATGCATCTAGGATCCAGTTTTTATTTGTTGCACCTCATTTAAATATTTGTTCTATTTATTATCATTCTGGAGCATACCCAAATCTTCACAGGCATCTTTAAACGTAGAATATTTGATATTATTGACGGTTCTAAGATATCGGAAAGAAATAGCGCCACGTACAAAATTTAATAAAAAGCGTAAATAATAGCGTTCTTCAGCTCTTGAATATACAAAGTATATATACCCAATAGTGTTATCCCTTTGGTGTGGTTTTCATTCTTTATATTTTCTATCAAACACCCATTGAGTAGAGAAATCGCCGTAAATAAATGTACATGCTTCAGAATATTTTTCATTCGTTTTAAACCAAGCAGTTAGAGTTGTCTCTGAATTGCTAATAATATTTTCTATATTTCCATCTTCTTGAAAAACAATTATATACTAGTTAGGTAGATAAATCTGAAGTCACATAATGTCAGGTTTTTCATTATGCATCTTGTAATGAAATAATCTCCAGGTAGCTTCAGAGGCAGAAATATAGCAGGCATCTATATAAAGACAAATTTCATTAATATCTTGTGCAGAGGTTGATTCTTGTGATTGTCTGATTTCAACTATAGCATGATCATGATCTTTATATATATATTTAAAAAGGTATTTAATTGTGGCAATTGAAGAATATATTTCCACATTAATATGTGCATCATATTTTGTAGCTAGATAAAGGTTATGGGGTATAACCCAATAGTTATTTAATTGTGTATTCTAACTTCAATTGAGTTGTTCTAATCACATCATTGGTACACAGGATAACTATCTGCATTTATACTTGTAGTAGCACAAAAAGAACAGGGATATTTTTTTAAGCATTTTTTTTCTTTCATACAAGGGGCATTAGGGTAGGCCAAACTACAAGGACCATACATCATGGTTTGACAAATAATATCAAAAGCTTTAGGGTAAAGGTCTTTATTAGAGATTTTTGCTGACACAATAGTATCATAATCATCAATGATTTTTGGTTTACTATCCAAATCTAAAATTAAAAGAATATGTGATTAAGAAAGACCATGTTTTTGAAATTCAATTATATAAATATAAGCTAAAACTATGCCAAATATATGATTTTTTAGAATGTCATTCATTAATGCCTTTAATTTTATGTTAAAAACCCTAGCTATAAGATCAGGATGATCGGATACATGCTGATTATTAAGGAGTTTATTAGTAATCTCAGGCCATGTTGAATTACATGTGAAGGTAATAAAAAGATCCAGTTTGCCAAGTGTGCACACAATAGCCATCACGTCTTGATATAGTTGTTGCATCTGACATGGACTATTGTAAAACCTGAGGGAAGAATAATTCATCTGCCTATATTTGCAACTTCTACAGTATGAGATAGGTCATCCTAAGTAGTTAAAGTATCTTGAAGGCCACTATAAAGCTTAGCATGAAGTCATTTTTGATTAAATTTTAAATAGTTAAGACGGTTTTGTTTTATATTTGCATAGACATCGACAATGTATTGTTGAAATAAACATCCAGCAAGGTGAAGACTTATTCCTTCTCCAGAGCAACCTACTTGTAACCGATAAATATAGTATTGCATCATAGTAATGTAGTGTTGATTTCTAAAATTTTCACCATTTATTATATCATCTTCATATTAGTCTTGTTGTATTTTAGCAGATTGAGATAAAATTTGAGTTTCATCAGAAAGTAGGATTTTTGGGTGCTATCCATCTTCACCTTTGGAGAACAAAAGAATATAATGTAACACTGTATATACTCTATGTAGCTCTGAAATATGCTGTAGTGTTTCTGTATGTGAATATAATATAATATCACGATTGCATATTTTAGTTTCACTATGATCACCTACTAAAATAGCTGCAATTTTAGAAGCACTTAGAACATTATAGCATCGTGGATCAGTTGTTCTTGAATCTTTAATGATCATCGTCAAATTATATAAGAGATTTTAGTAAAGTATTCTACCTGTTTGTTGAAAACTTGAATATACAAATTAGTAGTATGAAGCATGTTTTGAAGTTCTGCAAGAGTTACCTGATCTAAAGATGACTTAATATTACTCCTGTTTTGAATGTTATTTTCAGTATCAAAAACATATAGCTGCATAAAAGAAGGCTGATTTTCAGAAGATTTAGGAAGAAAAGATTCAATTTGATGATAGACTTCTCTATGTATAGAAAAACTATAGAGACCTCGCGTTCCTATAACATGTTTATCAATTTTAGCTCCTAGAGAAGTAAAGAATAAAATTGAATTATAAGAATGTATATTTCAGCAAAATTCTCTTGAACGTGCATCATTACCAGTGAGATAAGTATTCAATATTGGCAGAGGTTCTTGAAGATTTGGGAGAACAACTTTTTCACACATACAGCAAATAGCAAAAAGCAGAGAACATTTAGTTAAACCTGTGCATCTCTCATCTATCTATTTTAGTATACCACAAGAACTATATGAAATATCTATTTTTTCAAGTATATAATGCTATAGGTGACTTGAATCAAATGGGTATACACATACTTTTGGAACTGGAACACTATTAGCAATAGATATTGTAGGCGAAACTGTAGTAGTTAATGTAGAAAGAGCTACTGAAATGAGAATCGCTTGAGGTAAATGAGGTGTCAGAAACCTATTAAGAGAAAAAAATATAGAAGAGCTATTATTATTAGTAGATAAAGAAACAAAACTTTCTTGAGATTGGACAAAAGATTCTGTAGATATAGCTATTGTAGCATAATTAGAAATACAGTCGAACCTCCCTAAATGCAACCTTTATAAATGCAATACCTCTCTAAATAC